CACCAGTTTTTATTAACCATGTAAAATATGCATGGAGATGTGCAAAAATATGAGGTTTGTTTGTCATTTCGGGAAGAGATTTTATTTGTAGAGCTGCTGATCTTGATGTTGGGGTTTTGGAGCAGTTTGAGATTTTTCCTCATCGAAACAGCTTTTGCCTTTTCTTGTAAGTCTTTTGATATTGTCTGAAAGGTAAAAGATTACATAAAATTCAGTATTTCTTTTCGGCAATAAACTGATCATTGCAAGCATTATCAATTAAGCATAATATGAAAATGTTTTATAAATAAAAATAATTCAAAAACTAATATGCTCTAATACTGTACATAATATAATTATATAAGTAGTTAGATAAAGTAATGTCAATGACTTTAATGTTGGCTTTTATTGATGACTAAATAATTAAGCTATAATATTATATACAATTAAATTTCTATGCAATACCTTCAGATGCTCTGATAGAAAAGGACTGAGATTTAATAAAAACATACGATCTTTCATTAATACTATTAAAGAAAACCATCTCCGAAAACCTCTTGAATAAGCATCAGCCAGTTGGAACGTAAAGCTGAGAACATGGCCATTAGTAGAATCACCAAAATAAATTAAACCACCATCTTTATCTGGGCTTACCTATGGAAAAAAATTAATATATAATAGAAATAGAAATATTATTAAAATATTGTATATATATTGTCTGTATAATTATTGAAATATTTATCTATTACTATTGCTCTTTTACCTCACAGCTCAAGCTCCTAACACAAGCATGTTTCAACAAAGTAGCATTCTCTTCGATAATGGCATTTTGTGTGCTAATATAATTAGTCTCCTTATCATCCTTCGAGAGCATGGCCACATAGGGCCCCAGAGACAGACACGATTTGCAAGCCACATCTTCTTTTGGATTAACTGGTATATCAGCTGTGTCATGAGTAATTTGTGTGCAAAATATCACACTTGGTCCATGCACTTCGCAAAAATTGCAGAGCGCTATTATGGCATTCATGGTAGAGGAAGAGATTAGTTATTAGCATTATTAGATAAATAATTAAAATTTATTTTTAATAATAATTAATGACATTCATCGTTATTAAACTATTTAAAGTTAACTATTTAAAGACATCACTGCAAATTACCTAATGACAGATCGACCACGTGACGAAGTATTTTGACAGCTGTCAAATGTAAAGAACATAACCTAAAATTAAGCGTGGTGGATGAATAATTTTTATTTATAATAAAAATAAATATAAGTGTGTATATAAACCATACTTAATTAATATACAGTTCTAAAATTTTGTTTTAATTATTAATTAATTAAGTTTTACCTCAAAACTATAAAAGAAAAAAATAGTTTTGTTAGTAAAAATAAATATATAAAAATGAAAGCTCTAATTCAACGAGTTAATGGAGCTAATGTAAAAGGTAGATTCTTCATATTATTCATTATTTTTTTTCAATATATGGCCCACAGATTTCATCCAAGAGAACTTAAAAATACAATTATTTTACAATACGATACAAAAAGTGTTTTTGGTTCCCTTTGTTTTACTATATAATATTAAGATTGCATTATATTAATCTGAAAAAATCAGTCTATAGATTTTTTTTTGTTTGTAGATTACTTACTTCTCAATCTTTTATTCTATATCATTAAAAAAATACTAGAAACAAAAGATCTGCATTTGCACATTTGGAATTATGCAATAGACTTCCAGCGAAAGAAAATGTTCCATAGATTGCTTTTTTGTGCACCTAAATAGTTTAAATTGTTATATGAAGTGTATCGTTAAGTGTTTGTAGTATAAAAAATTATTTATATTGCTTCAACCAGTTATTAATATGTAAAATTACTTTAATTACGTTCAAAATGGCACAATAAAGTAAATATATGTGACTATGATTTTTAATATTTGAAATTGTTATTGTATTATAATTACATTGATTTTGTTACATAAATTATAAAAGCCTTTAAAAAATGACAGAGGGGCTACTTATAGGTTGTACAAGTACTAAAACGATGTGTATTACATTTTTGTATCAATGCTTTTATATAAAATAAAAAAACGTCAATAGTTATAAAAATATACTAACAATAAATATAAATCATTGATACGAGTGTTAAATAACTAACATATTTTTTTGTCGATTGTTAATTTAGTTTGCTGGTTGGATAACAAAATTATTAAGATTTGTTTGAAATTTATTGCTATTTTGTTAATATTAATTTTCATTTCATATTGATTGAAAACTTTGTTAAGTTATTACTGTAAAATATCATTTACTTATTGATATTTTTTTAAAATAAATTTATATTCGAAGTTAAAGGAGAACTCATCAGCTCTATCGGCAAAGGATTATGTGTTCTTATAGGCATTTCTGCTGATGATACCGTTAGTGATATGAAATATCTGTGAGTAATTTTCTAATAGAATATAAACATAAAATTTAAATAAATTAGTATGAGCAAATATTAACGGTTTGAATATATTTTATTATTTCAGAGTCCAAAAAATACTAAATGTTCGTTTATTCGAAAATGAGAATGGTGTTCGATGGTCCCAAAACGTTAAGCAAAAAGACTATGAAGTACTTTGTGTGAGTCAATTCACGTTATATGCAACTATCAAAAAAATAAACCAGATTTTCACCATTCTATGCCTGCCACAAAATCTCAGCAATTGTATAACGATTTTCTAGCTGAAATGAAAACTGCATATGAAAGCGATAAGATAAAAGGTTATTAAAATGAGGCAATTAAATTTTACTTATGTAACTTGATATACTTGTACTTGTGATTGAATATGTGATTTATCTTTTCAGATGGAATTTTTGGTGAATATATGGAGGTGAATATACAAAATGATGGACCAGTCACGATAGAAATCGAGTCACCAAAAAAGCTGAAGTTACTGATAATTGTGAATGATTGTAGAAAATTTTAAATAAATTATTTTATTATAAATTGTATAGTGAGTTTAATTTTATAACCCAAAAAACAAAACCTTATCTCATGCACATTTGTTGAGTGTACATGTTTCTAATATATATTTAAAAAACAATTTAAACTAACAAGTTTAATGATTACTTCATAGAAATATTATTTAAACAAATTGTTGCAATAATCATTAAAAAATCTCGTGGCATCGTGCTTAAGGCAAATTGCTGGAACTTCCCGTACCGCAATTAAACATTCGAGAAACGAAAGTTATCAATAATTGTTTAAAATAATTTCTTCTACAAACAACTTATTTCAAGAAATTTATTCATTTTTTTTGTATTTTTGAAAAAAATCGTTTTTTTAGTTTTTTGAGAATTTGATTTTTTTTTAAATATTTGATCGATTTTAATATGAAAACGATTTTTTTTATCTGATAATTTTTTTAATTTAGTTTTTTTTGAAGGATATGAATCAAACGCTCAACTCAATTACAATTTTTGTCTTTTTTTATCCCGTATCTCCAAAACGGATAGACCTGCCTTTGCAAAAAACTAATCAGCACGTCTCCTTATCAATTCGAATCGAACGTTTTTTGAATTATTCAAATCGGTTGATCCGTGTTCTCGAAATCGTCGACAAAAAATTGTTAAAAATTGATAAGAAACGAAAATATTTCCACCCTATATTTTTGAAATAGATATTTATTATATTATTTCAGGTTCTTTTTAAGACGAAAAATGTAACTAGGTGTAAGTGGCATTTTGCCTTTGGCTAAAACAAATTTGACTTATTAATTAAACTTATTTCTTATTAATTAAATTGATTATTTACATATATCGGAAAATGTTTGCAACGTGCCTCATTCTACTTACACATAGTTAAAAAAAATTGCACAAATATAGCTACAGCTATATTAATGTATTAATATAAAAAATATAAAGAATACAAAATTTCCCAATGACAACAATAATCCAAAAAGCGTTTTTCATTTTTTCAAAAATAGTAATCAAAATTGAGTGAAGTTAGACGTTTATTTAATACACATATAAATTATTCAAAATTACAGTTAATTTCTTTGATTTTTCCATCAAATTACAAAAAATTGCGTAAATTGATGAAAGAAACTCCGAAGCAGATTTAAGAAATTTGAGCAGAATTGTCAGTTGGAACCAAAAATAATAAGATAATTATGATATATCCATAAATAATTTCAAAATTTCATCAGTGCCATATTGTTAAAATACTTCAGAATGTTAACTACGCATATCAAAATATAAATTTTATTATAGGATGTATATTTATAAGTTCTAAATTCAAATTTCAACGGTTTTTTGGCTTCATTTTCTTAAGATGTGCGAGTACAGTATCGCACGAACGGGTTTGACTCCCATAGTTGTTTTTGTGAATGGTGAAAAAACGATTGGACAACATTTTATAATAAGTTCGGATATTGCGAAATGGAGTGACCTGCTGCAGCAGATTACCGATAAATTGAAACCGCATTTTGGACAAACGAGAGCACTTTTGAAGCAGAAACTGGTGAGAAATATTTATAAAGAAACATGTTTTTTATCAACTTTACGAAGCATCGAAAATTTTTAATTCCTGTGCGACGATCGGCTAAAGCATTTCTTTAAAAAGATCCATCCAAAATTTGTTCTGTTCGAAAGATATCAATGAGAAATCGTATTTTCATAAAGATCGATCGTGCCCTGTATCTTAATTAAACATTTTTCATAAAATTGTTTCAGGAATGAGAATTCATTCTTTTCTACAAATCGTGCCAGGAAGACATTACGTTGCAGCCGGAGGCGAAAACTTTGTACCAGTTCCGAGAGGGTAAAGTATAATACTTAAAAAGTAGTGGTGCATGGCATCGTGCTTAAGGCAAATTGCTAGAACTTCCGTATCTTAATAAAATATTCGAGGAATATTAAATGTTTTCAATAGATTATATAATTATATAATCTATTGAAAACATTTGATATTCCTCGAATATTTTACTTAAGTAATGTTTAGAACTCCAGTTAGAATTAGAATTAAAATCCGAATTATTTTTTTTAATTAAAAAAAAATGTTCCCCAAAAGTTATATTTCGTCAACACAAGCAGAAAGTTTCTTGAATCATTCAAATAGGATGCTTAGTTCTTTCAAAAACTGTCATTTTTACACATTTTGCACGATGTCTCCAAAACGGCTAGATCTGCCTTTGCCAAAAACTAATCACCACATTTCCCCATCATTACGAATTGAATATTTGTTGAATCGGATGTTCCGTTCTCTCAAAGATATATAAAATTTTCATTTTCGATTTTCGGTCCTTTACTATAACTTACCCAGCGGGAAGTTAATTAATAATATATTATTTATATATAAATATTTTGATGAATGATTCAAAAAACTTTCTGCTTGTGTTGACAAAACAATTTGGATTTTTTAAATTTATTTTCTTTTTCAATTTTTTGTATATCGAAAATAATTCAGATTTTAATTTTAATTCTGGCTAAAGTTCTAAAACTCACTTACATACTTTAAAGAAATAATTTAACTTTGCAATTACGTTTATGTAATTCTTATAAATATTAGAAAATGTTTCAGTACTTATTTATAATATCTATAATAATTTATGATATCTTAATATTCCTTGAATACTTTATTACGGTACGGGAAGTTTCAGCAATTTGCCTTAAGGCACGATGCCATGTACCACTAGTTTAAATTATGAATAGAACTTTGTCGTTGAATTTTTTAAAATCGTTGAACTTAATATTTTTTAAATATAATATTATTTAATCGCTGATTCAATATATACATACTTTAATTATTTGTGCAGGTATATAAAAGTGGCCAAATTCATTCAAAGGAATAAAAAGAAGAAAAGGTAAGATCAAATTTTCTTATGTTGTTAAAATTCAGATCTCTTAAATTATTTATCTACAAACAAAATATATAAAAAATAAAATAAAATTAGAGATTTAGATTACAATCAAATATCGATTTTTCTTTAGATAGCATGAGATGTGTAGTTTTCTGAGTGTGCATGAATTAATAACTAAAAAAAAATGTATAAAAAAAAATTTTGCTGAGTAAAATACCAAAAAACGATGATTTTTGTATGAGAGACTTCTAAGGGGAGGTCCCAGGGGTGAACCATAAGCATGGGTGGATCGGCCTTCCAAAGTTAGTTGGGAATTGTTATACATTTGGACGCGATTAGAGCACTATAAATGGGTTAAAACGAAATTTTCAAAATTCAATCCCTATCTTTGGGTCAATGCACGGGACATCAAAATTCATTTTAGAGGAATGGTTTCTTCAGCAAAATATCTTATTTTGATCCCTAGTATCGAAAATCATATGTGCCTATGCGCGACTTTTTAAATCGGCCCGCCCAAAATATATGTAATAAAAATATGTACCTTTATAATTTTTATACCAGCCACCATCTCAATTGTTATATCCTCCTCGATGTGCTGGAGAACCTCCAAGCGACTGCATAGAGATACATCTCATTCACAATGGAGACATTTGTTCAGCTCCGAGAAAATTCTATCTCTCTGTGGCTGATCTTGAAGATTGGACGGAAACGCTTATTTTCATAGAACACCATCTTGGTCTGGCCGAAACTGGAGATGATTTATGCACTTGTCGACATATCACGTGAGAACTGAAAAAAAAACATTGATAGAAATATATATAATAGATGACCCGACAGCCGTTGTTCTGTACCCACGTCTACAATTTTTTAATATCCTATACTAATATATACCGTTTACCCAAAAATAATAATTATGTTCTTAAATTACTTTCACATCAAAATGCATATACATCAATATGAGCAATGTTAAATGTAGAATTGCTTATAAAATGATGAGTCTCAATTCCCACACTATATTGAAAATTGAAGTCTTATAAACGGTATAACAAATTCAGAAAAAAATAATATATATATTATCCGCAGTAAAAGTACAATGTTACCTTGAATATTTCCACCCAAAATAATTGCTACATAATGTTGCCTATAATTTTTATAATCTCGTATCATATTTTAACTGGTTGTTTAGTAATTATAATATCTAAATTACATTTTTCTTAGTAATAATTTATTATACATTATTACCAGGGACGCTCCTGGGGTTCTCAGCGCCCGCATGAATTTTTTCTAGCGCCCCCCCTTATTATTTTACATGTTTAACTCTTATTATTAAAATTACTATCTAGTTAATATTGGCTTTGAACATTTTACTTATTTTTTTTGGGCATTTTGGGCATTTATGCGATTTATTCTACTGAGCAATATATGAAGCAAAAAAATTATAGTCTTCCATTATTAAACATAATCATAACATAACAATGGTACTTCATGTGGATTATTGTAATTTAATTTTTTATTATTAAGATACCCAAAATTGCATCTTGAAATTCCCTAATTATATCGCAAGGACCGAGTTGTATGTATTCATCTTTACTTTCCCA